ATTTAGAGAATAAGCATATATTCGTTCTCATTTGTTTTGCATGTATTTTTGAAGTATTCAAAAATTGTCTACAAATTGTGAAAAACGAATTGTGAAATCCAACAAGAAGTATTCAAAAATTGTCTACAAATTTAACTTGCAAAGTGAAAAATTAAAAAACAAACGGTAAGTCCATTTATAAAATTAATGGAAAAGTTCGTTGAAAAATGTCCGAAATAAAGCCTACATATATATATATTTTGTATTTAAGAGATGAAATGGACTTCACTTTCATATGTAGCTTTTGGATAATACTTCTCTTAAAAAAGTATCCTTTCATGTATGAGCAGTATTTTCCATTTTCTTAACATATTTAGAAGTAGTTTGATGCGGGAAATTATTTGTTATCAAAATTGTGTTGCTTTGATTCGCAGACGAATATATAATTCAACACCGATGAAGACGTAGCAAAATATGTTCATCTGTAAACTCCGGGACGCCGTAATATTAAGTAAGGGGTTCTAAGGTTTTTTAACACGACCGGGGTATTTTGTTCCATTTTCCTTTGTTATATATTATGTTGTATGTATCTCTGGGCGGGCGCATTCGACTTTTTCTATTTTCGGAATAAAAGCGAAAATTTTTATGGCGTATGGGTTGTATCTTATAGGTAAGAAGCCATGAACACGAAAAGCAAAAATGATCGGAGTGGAGTTTTCATTGCATAGGTTTGAACGGCTTGAGTCAAATTCTTTTGCAAATTTATGGTTATCAAACTAACGGTAGAATATTTACCGCACACGGACAGACGAATATGTTTAGATGCATCCTAAATTTGAAACTGGCTAAGAATTTGTGTACTTTATAGGGTTTTTACAGCTTATTTCTTCGCCTTATAAAGGGTTTTAAAAAGCAATTAAATCTTGATGCACTATAATATTGGCTTGGCGTGGTTAATTTTTTCCATTTTTCTACGCATATGCTGCAGCATCGCCTGTAGACTATTGATTGAATTCGTTTATCTGTTATAGCTTATGAGTAATGAGCAAAAAAAAAAAAAACAATTTTTTATTCCTCTTGTTCTCAGTTTACGTAATGCTGCGGCCTATCCTTAGACTGATTTGACCCATTTTCAATACCAAGCTGGGTGCAAGAACTTCCAATGTTTCTGCCAAACTTGACTTCGATAATTCAATTTTTGCGGTCACGGGAATTTTTAGAATAGACATAGACACAGATGGACAGACGGACATGCTTAGATCTATTTGGAATTTGATGCCTATCAAGAATATATGTACTTTGTGGGATCTCTGATGTTTCCTTCCCTGTGTTGCAAACGTTTCGACGAGACGAATATATCCCTCATTCTTTGGTGATGGGTATAAAAATATGACCATAAACATGGTTTATTAAATGAAGGTAGAATTAAACAAATAAAAACACTATAGTGAGCCAGGTCCCATCATTAGATACTATACACAATTCTAAAATTACCCATATAACGACTTTCACAAAAAAAGGGTCTTGGATGGAAAGTGGTCGAAAAAGTAGTCCGATCCGAATCATTTTCAATAGCATTCGCTTTTCAACCAGAAAACCTTAACTGCACCCAATTTCATCAAAATATCTCAAAAGTGACGGCGTTTAGGTTGAACACAAAAAGGCAAAACGGGTAAACAAACTTAGACCGCTTCAGTAAGTAGTTCTGAGGGCGATGGTTCCATCTGAAGTTCTGTTGGGTGTTGCGTACATCCGCGCAAGTTTAATTTGTCCGCGCATCACAGGTAACGTGGGGAATAAAAATTAATAAAATGGTTTTATTTGTTCGCTGTGTATCGATCTGAAGCGAAGTTTTGGTAAAGGAAAATAGTTCTCGAGACAAGTCGCGAGCCATTGACCCATTCAAAGATTTCCTTATTAATAGAAAATTATGAACTGAACGCGTGCCAGCAAAAAGAACTTTCATGGGTTTCTTTTTGTTTGTCGATCGTATGTGGAGATGATATATTACGAAAGTAAGCTTTATTTTTTTATAGCTCGATCGTGCTTTAATTGATAGAACTGCAGCTATATATAGTTTTTATTATTGAAAATTAACAAACGGTAACTAAGCGAATATTAGTACGACAGGAGAGCTATTAAGGAAAACTTTGGCAAATCGAGTTTGCGTGGAGGTGTGCTGTTCTGATATGAAATTTTTCGATTGATAGCAAGCGTTATGCATTTTGATTAACACTGAAAGTTTTGATTGAAACCTTATGTCGTTCGAATGAAGAGGTTTTGTCGTGGCACAATTATAGATGTTCTTAAGATGTTGTCTGTCTGGATTTAAGAACAATGCAATCTATACTGAGAAGAAGAGAAGAATTCTCATAGAAAACGAATGTTAGTGGCGAGGATAAAAGACGGAGGACCGAAATACTATGATGGAAGCTATGAAACGCGCGTTTTTTGTTTAGTCTGTGTTCAGCTGCGACTGAGAGAGACACATTGCACCGTCCGCTCGATATTATTATTTATAAAGCTTAAAGATATTCTTCTTACTGATTTTATAAAATTTTTTTTTTCGTGTTTGTATCTCATTTTTATTTTATTTTTATCCTAAACTGGATCGAAATAGAAAGCGATTTACATCTTCTCTTCTTATACGAGTTTAAATTAAATCATACCCTAGCTCAAGCTTCAAGAGATATTAATCAGGCATTCGGAGATGAAATTCATCAACGCAAAAAACTGCTCGATATTGATTCCGAAAAGTGAGCCTCGAGGAAGACCATCGGCCCATATTTATAACGAGAAATTAAGGACGACTGTGGAAGCCGATGTACACACAACTTGT